GGCAGTAGCGACTTCCGAAAGTAAGGTTGGTTTTCACATGTATCTACAAGCTTTACAATCAGAAATCGTTCTGAGGACCTAATACGGTGAAATGAAACGTAAATCATGTTCAACAATAGCCGCTGACGACGTACCCGAACGAGGTAGATGGTTCGTTTGCCCACATTGATGTTCATGAGGTAGTAGACAATGCGACTGTTTACGTTACCTGAAAAAAAGAGAGACATAGATAACGCGTCACAAGCGAATTACAACCGTTAAAATTGCCCCATAAGAACTTCCGCGGCAAGATCGTTACTTAGAGGTAGGTCGGTGAGGCTCCAAATTTTTTTAACAGTGTGCGAGGTACAATTTACTGTGACAATAAATCATAATAAAGAGATGCCCCGGGCTTCCAGGTCGCAGCCTTGAGCGATCGGCCGAGGCAATTGGTCGATTTCAGAATACGACGGCTTTATTTAAATATGTAACGGCAAGTTAGACTTAAGAGAAGAGGTCAACCCTTTCCAACGTCATAGTTTGCGGCCGAAATAATTCCCAGGCACATAAGCAGCCGTTGTACTAAAATGCCCCCATTCCTACGAGTCTAGCGATAGGATTCTTGAAGAGCTACAAGACGGGGAACACTAGGCTGAATTAATGACAGATACTCTTGATATTTTCAAATGGGACTATCATTGAATGTTTGATCATATATATTTTGTCGGATGGATATGGGAGGCATTGTAAAATAGAAATATGTTGAATGTTATTATCATTATTATGGACTAGACAGTCTCATAAGAAGTTATCAGAACATGCTCCTATGAAGAATTACAAGAAAATTGCTACAGGAAGCATGTTGAAGATACGGAATCGATTTTGATATCGTTGATAAACCACATGTTGTGGAATAAAGTGCATTAATTTGTTCAAGCCAACGTTCTTCTTATTATCGTAAGAATAACCAAAGATGATGGATGTGAGGTGCTATTTTCTCCATCTCATTATTCTGATTTACAGCCAATTGGAAAAGTAAGGGCTATTGTGAAGGGAGATGTTGGTCGGTAGTAAACGACTACAACTACATTCAAAGGGGTCCTTCAGTACTCAAAAGACGCGTTTTATACCCAGCAAGCACATAATTTTTAAGGGTACATCAACAAAGTCAACAAGAATCTAGAAACGAAAGACGCAAATGGTTTCCAGCGAAAAGTAATGCTAACAATGAAGACTCTTAAAGCCTAATGCATATGCTTACAATAAAGTTATTTATATATGTTGGCTTATTTCCATATCGAGGCGTACGTCAGCCAGCAAGTGTGCATGTGGAAAACGCCTCGGTTTTGGAATTCACAGCATGTTTGA